TGCTACCGCCAGGCCCGGAGATCGGGCGGAAGGGGTTCGAAAACGGTAAAACTCAACTGTTTAACTCTAGGGGAGTTGGAAAATGAGCCTATTTTCAAAAATAGTGGAGTGTTCCTTTAAATAGACTCTTTTCTGTGCATTCGGGCATTCAAGAGATGGACTCCTCATAAACATCTGCTCCTATAACAGGGTGTAGGGTGTGATCACATCACATGCTCCCCGTTTGCTTGTGACAGTGAGGAAGGCAAATATTACAACAGCATGAGTAAGTGTCATTTTCTCTCTAGCTAGCAGTAAGGTACGACTTGCAACAAGGACAAGGGGTAAGTTTGGAAGGCCTAAATCAGAAAACACAGTTTATATGCTGGAACCATCCATTTTGCATTATGACAGAGCAGAGCACGAGGAAATTCACTTCACTTGTTAAAGCCATATTGCTTGTTTTGGTGTACAAATCTGATCAAGCTTCACAACATCTACAGTACTTGAAATGCCTGCATGAACACTCAATGTACTCACATTTATTCACCAATACTACAGAGTTCTTGGGTTGTGGACATCAAACCATCCAACTAGGATTATTCTGACTGATTCTAGATCAGCTTTTAGTAAGAGCTACTTAGGCTTTTGCTCTGGTTACACCTGATCCGTTTGGATCTCCAGCTCCACCTGTTGGCAGAGAGGTGCGCTGACTCGAACCAGAGAGCCATTACAACCGCAATGGCTTATCCTGACCCATCCTTCAGTTCAGTGAACTCTTAGAACCCCCTGAGGTCACCTAAACGCATGCGTACAAGCAGACAAATATACATAAACACTCGCACGAACATTTAAAGGTAAACATTTCCTTCAGAAACCCCCACACAGAGCAAAGAAGATAAGGCAGAGTGGCAGACTCAGGCTGTTTCATCCAAAAACACAGATGACCTGTGTCCGTACCTTAAAACTATGAAATCTAAAAGCAGGAAGATACAGTGCTTGACTATGAACATCACAGACCAGTCAGAAGAACAAAGGACAGTTCTTCACCTCATTGTAACATAAGGAAGTGAAGTATATGAAGAATTTTTTTTTACCTATACAGCATATGGTAACATCTCAATCTAAATAAAAGTTGACTGAAATTAATTCTAGTGTTGAAATAACATTACGCCAACAGGCTAGAACAAGAACTCGGATAGCGTGTGGTTTTGAGAATGACCACAAACCTTCTGAAACAAAAGAATGTACTAGAGGCAGTGAGAGCCAACGAGTAAATAATTTAAATGCAAATAAAGTTGTTTGTTTTTCTGTTTTTTTAAAGAGCTTGAAATATTGATGCAGCATGCACTGGAATGATCGGAGTCCTGAAAAACACATCATGAAAGATGGACGGACACCTATTACAAGTCTACTGAAAAAAAAAGCATAAACAGTGTTTTGTCAGGGTGGACCTCTTCTACCCATTTGAACACGTCTGCCGGGCCGGGGCGGTGCAGTGTGTGCTGTGAGGTGTGTGTGTGTGTGTGTGTGTGTGTGTGTGAATGTAGTGGTGCTGATGGAGATGGATGTGGTGGGAATGCTGGTGCTACTCCCTCTTGTCTGCTGCTTTGGACTGTTCTCTCTGGATCATGCAACGGCGGACGATGCTGTCAAAGCTGCCCAGGTAGAAGAGAGCGATGGTGCGGAACAACCCCATCGTCACAATCTGGACAGAGTGAGATAATATGACCATTTTAACATCACAGAAAATCAACCTATCTATCCATCCATCCATCCATCCATCCATCTATACCTGTATATTCCAACTATCTATCTATCTATCCATCCATCCATCTATACCTGTATATTCCAACTATCTATATCTATCCATCCATCCATCTATACCTGTATATTCCAACTATCTATCTATCTATCTATCCATCCATCCATCTATACCTGTATATTCCAACTAACTATCTATCTATCTATCTATCTATCTATCCATCCATCCATCTATACCTGTATATTCCAACTATCTATCTATCTATCTATATCTATCTATCCATCCCTGTACTATCCATCCATCCATCTATATCTGTATATTCCAACTATCTATCTATCTATCCATCCATCCATCTATACCTGTATATTCCAACTATCTATCTATCCATCCCTGTATATTCTATCTATCCATCTATACCTGTATATTCCAACTATCTATCTATCTATCTATCTATCTATCTATCCATCCATCCATCTATACCTGTATATTCCAACTATCTATCTATCTATCCCTGTATATTCTATCTATCTATCTATACCTGTATATTCCAACTATCTATCTATCTATCTATACCTGTATATTCCATCTATCTATCTATCATCTATCTATCTATCTATACCTGTATATTCCAACTATCTATCTATCTATCTATCTATCTACCCATACCTGTATATTCCATCTATCTATCTATCTATCATCTATCTATCCATCCATCCATCCATCCATCCATCCATACCTGTATATTCCAACTATCCATCCATCCATCCCTGTATATTCTATCTACCTACCTATCCATCCATCTATCCATCCATCCATACCTGTATATTCCATCTATCTATCATCTATCCATCCATCCATCCATCCCTGTATATTCTATCTATCTATCTACCTACCTATCCATCCATCCATCCATCTATCCCTGTATATTCCAACTATCTATCCATCCATCCATCCATCCATACCTGTATATTCTATCTATCTATCTATCCATCCATCCATCCATACCTGTATATTCTATCTATCTATCCATCCATCCATCCATCCATCCATCCAT